ACATGTGACATATTATACCATTGCTTTCGTGCTAAACGTGTATCAAAGCTTGCGGCAACGTAATATATAGATGATAATGAATGGCAATGAAATTGCCATTGCAAATTTCATCTTTCATTGGAATATTGGAGTATTGGGAAACCGGAGATCAAGCAAACGATGGTTTTTAGTGCCAAAATGAATGAAGAGGGAAATTTGGACATGGACGACATTAGAATGAGAGTAAACCATGCAGTCGATTTGGGCATCTTGAAAAAAATGGAGAAGATTGGTATGGCAATAAATTTCACGGCTTCGAGTCCCGAGAATACGGTTGCCGCAATAGAGGACGATGAGCCCGGCCCCAGCGATGCTAACCGCAGGCGCGGAAGAGGGAATGCCCAGAAGCCGTGGAAGAAAAACAGCGGCGTCTCGTTCGCCGTCCCGCCGTAGGTCCCGCTCTCCTTCGGGTCCGCGGTCCCGGTCCCGATCCGGATCGCGATCTCGTGCGTCATCTCGACGCAGAAGATAGTTGTCGTTGCTACGAAGTGTCACCATTTTGAAGTCAACATCTAATTAATCTTTTTCATTGGTCTCCTTCCGAAACTCTAGAAGCTACTTTCCTCTTTTGGAGTGTTCAACATATTTATCCGACTGACTATCAAACTTCGAAGACAAGCCCGTAAAAATTTCTGATTTTTCTATGGTGGATTAAACAAATAGAAATAATTTGTATTGAAACTTACATAACATAACCTGACTATTACCAAAAATATTCAGATATCATTCGATAATCTTAATAAGGCGAAAGCGAAATTAAATTCTAAAAACCCTCTGAATTACCACCGAAATCGGAAATTATATATGTAAAGCTATGCTTACCGGTATCAAAGTTATCCAATTACTTTCAGAATGGTTTTCAAAATCAATAACAATGACTCGATAATTTGGTGCATTTTTATTTGTACGTAAATACACTTTGGATCCAATATTTGTTATATACTGCAAAAAGAAATAATAATCAATTTGTTAGTTATTACTTTAAAAAAAAAAAAAACGTTCGTAAAAAGCCCTCACATCGTAGTCTGCTTCCAATTTTTCAATAATTTTATGCATTTTTTGTTTGGAAGGCATCGTACTTGTTGTATCCAGTTCGGAATAATACAAAATATTGTCGCGGCAATCTTTTACAATCGGTATTATTAGATATTTACCGCAGTCGGATACTTCCGGTTGGCTAAAATTAAAAAAAAATTCAATTATTTATATTATAAATATTTTATATATATTCTGATAGAGTTTTCTGTTGATATAATAAAACGCTGTAATGAATGCGAAACAACATAATTTATAAACAAACACATCTTAAAACAGTATGATAAAGATTTTTTGAAACTTTATATTGTACGCTTAATGAAAAACCTGTTTTCACATCTGGGCAAATACAATCATTATTCGATTGCTCAAGCCAAATATTATTTTATTCCAGGTTTCTTACTGAATTAATTTGCCCAAGCTTTTCCCAAGAAGAAAACGTGACTGCGATAAAACTTAGATTGAAGGAAAAATTTTGGATCTTGCTGCAAAAATTAGCCCGTAGTTGAGACAGCCAAAAGTGACAAAAATACATTTTTGATGCATATGCTAGGGTCACTTAAAAAAATAACTGACAAAAAATTCGTTTAAATCAATTCAAGGAAATTATTACAGTAACATTTGCTGATCGAATCTCAAGAAATATTAGGAAACGTAAAACGTATTCGCATATAACGAAATTCGTATCCGCGTTTTGACCGGCAGCATTTTTCGACGAACTGATCCTTTTTTAATATTCCCAATATTTTGTTTGCGCGTTTTTTACCTCAAAGTTAATGACTGTCACACACACAATCTCAAAAACGGATTCATAAGGTATAAAGTGGGATTCATAAGCTACTGCTGGACACAAGTTAAGAAATAGACGGCTGATGGTCGTTAAAATACATACAGACATAAAATAGCGTTACATTGCACTTTCTCTCATAATCACCTTTGGTTTTGCAATCCGCTATTCTTATTAAAGTAATAATAATTTCCATGCTTCATCGGACATCCGTATTTCTCATAATTCCATAGTTTTAGTAACTTCTCATAAATGCTTTTCCTTTCGTCGCAGTCCAAAAAAGGCTGACTTATTTTATTTTCCTCATTGACAAATTGCTGAGTTTCGGCAGAATCTGGATCTTCTAGCCATCGATAAACGTCTTTCATTTCTACTCCATGAAAAGTATCAGATATGGTATG